GTCAGCAGTGCATCCCAGGAGGAGCAGGACGAGGAGGTGGGCCCCGCCGGTCCCATCCTGAACCCTCTAGGTCTCCTTGCAGGGACCCCTTAGATCCCGTTGCGTGCGCGCCGGTGTCTTGGAGAGGGGAGGGAACTAAAGGCGTTCGGCCACCATCCTGGGATAGTGACGGTCAGGAGACTTTGGGTCCTTGACTTCTTGTGGTTGTCCTCGCGCGCTTTTCTACATGGGCTACCCGATGGTGTGCTTTGGAAATGTCACAGAACCAATCCCTTCCTATCTGTATCTGCTTGGGTTGTCAGCATCAGGATGTGATCTGAAAGCTTGGCTTGTCCCTACAACTCAGATCCGATTCCTAAAAGTGGGAGTCGCTGACTAACTACTGAAGTGTAGGGTGGAGCGGGATACCCGAGCGTAGGATTCGGATGGCAGTGATGGCTACGGATTGCACTTCTGGGGTGTCAGAGACTAGGGTTCCCTGGGGCAGTCCCTGGATGGTTTGTGGATCCTCGGGCAGAGGAAGATTCCCCAAGTTAAACGCTGTCACCATACCGGGAAGGATGCATCTTACCTTCCTCAGAGGACTTTGTCCAACCTCATTTCCTGGAAGGCTGTGCATCCAAAACTTGTGGTTTGCTTCCTGACACACTGAGTTTCATGATCCCCTAGGTTGCTTTTCCTAATTGCTTTGGAAGACAGGGAAGGAAGATTGTTCACGTCTTAAAGATTGTTTGCTTTGGACAGAGCCATAAATAAAACATAACCCTAGCATAGTCTCCTTGTGAAATTAATTCCACAGTGCCTGCCTGGTATTTTCCCCGTCTCTGCTGGTGTTAGCACTAGTGAACAATTGCCTTTGTCCCTGGAAGAAGTAAACAGAGCCCAGGGTCCTGGTACTAGCCCCCTGGGTGCCCAGCCTGGAAGCAGGGACTGGATCTGGCACAAGGCCAGCAGAGGCAAGTCCCAGCCTGGGCTGGTGATTGGCCAGTACTTTGGTGGCAAACATGATCCATTCCTGGATGCCTGTGGGATTGCACAGATCTTAGGCAGGTGTCCGGTATTCTGCTTTCTAGAACTCTTCTGCGCCTTAGTTGTAAGATCTGGACTCATTTCATTCTTTACAAGTTCAGTTCTGTAGTCAAAAGTGGAGAATTTCAAGGCAAAGTTCACTCCAACACGAATGCTGTTTCTGACTTGGAATTTTGGATAGCTCTAAATTCTAGATTTAGATTAGTCATTCCAGGAGTTTGTTGAGTGACACACCCACCCTAAATTCTGGCAGAGAGCAGAGCTTCCTCATGGGTGCATCTCTCTTTGATGGAGCATGTTGGCTCTGGGTAACTGGCTATCCTAACTTAATCATTCTGTTTAGCTAACATGGGATGCACAAGATGTGGGGAGTGGGGTGGGTAACTTCTCAGTTTTGATCTTGATTGTATAGTTGATTTATCGACTCCCCTCAGGGTGACAGTGTTTTACTTTCTCCAAAGTGGCTATAATGATATTTTATTTCCCAGAAAGATTGGTTGAGTGGAACATATATTGTGCTTCAGAGTAGGATGGCTGAATGATTTTGGTCACTGTTGGGAAAGTTCAGAATTGGACCTAAACAGACAGTGCTGCAATTTGGGGCACGACTTAGCCTAATTGGATGATGGAGTGAAGCCTTGACTTTCCCTCAGAATTTTGAAACAAAACCCAAGTTATGTGGCTCTCCCACCTCAGCAGTAGAGAAGTGATAAAACTTGATGAGGGGTCTGAAAATTCATGTATACTCACTGGTGCTGATGAGGTATACTCGGTGGAATTGTGGCTTTGGGAAATTAACAAAAACTCTTTTGCCCCTTTCCTTAAGGAAAAAACCACATTTTAAATTACTGTTCTAGAAGGTTCAGGAATGCCAACTAAAAACACCCCCTTTCATGGAAATCCCTGGGTTTGACTTCTGGTTCTGTCACCTTGAGGAAGTCTGTGCTTATGGACCTTAGGAGTTCTGTCAGCCTCAGTTTTCTTACCTCTTAAATGGAGGTGACAGCAATAGCACTCTTGAGATGCTTTATACATGCTGTATACATCATCTGATTTACTCTCAGCATAGTTGATTATTGAGTTCCAAGTAAATATCAGTGAACAGTAACTTTTAAGTTATTGCTTATAAAATTTTTTTGAATTGAACTTCAAAGTTGGGCTGACTTATTTCATTAATGCATAATTTATGTACTGTCTAATGTGAGAGAATCCAAGGTTTTATTCCCATTTAAGAAGGATTTATTATTGTAATGATGTGCACGCCGTGTGCACATGAGTGCAAGTGCTGCTGGAGTCCAGAAGAGGGCTTTGGATGTTGGATCCCCTGGAGTTGGTGTTAAAGCAGCTGTAAACCACCAGATGTGCTAGGAACTGACCTCTGACCCTGTTGTTCTGAATGGCTGAGCCATTTCTGCAGCTCTTGGCTTATTCCCCCTTTACTGTTATAAGTGTGCGTGTGGGGATTCTTTCTGTTTATTTCAGGCTGTGTTGTGACAAAGCACCTGGGGATAGCTTTAGTTATACTGTAGCAAGGCCCAGGCTATAAAGCATTAAAAGGCTTAAGAGCCACTCATAGAATTGAAAGGCATTCATTTCAATTTAAAGATTGCTGTGTGGCTTAGGAGATTAATTTTTTTCCAAAGATTTTTTTTGATACCAACTTACTGTATTTGTTTTTAAAATGCAAGGAAATTCTGGTTGGTTCCTAGCATATTCCTATAGTGCTGCTTTTTGACAACCTTGTTAAAGATGTTTTGAATATATCTAGTAAGGGTCACAGTACTTTATCTATCTCATAGTTCTAGCTTCCTACTAATACATGCGTATTAGTCTCAGGTGCTTCAGTCAGACCTCCGGGCTTTGATGTCTTAAAAATTAGTTGAACATTGGCATTGATAGATATCTAAAATTTTAATTTCCTTTTATTATCCTGTGCTGTGGGGATAAAAATCTACAGTGTTATATGTGCTGGGCAAGCACTTACCACTGAGCTGCAAACCCAACCATTTTTAAACTTAATATTAAACACATGAGAGTCAGAGCAGACTCTCTGTTTTGTTAAAAAGCAAGCAAGCAAACAAACCCATCTCTGCCTTGTGTCTTGGCTGCAAGCCTGTGGATGTGGGGTTCTCTATGTTGAGGGGTTGCACACTGCATTTCTGATGGGCAATTTAGGTTGGAGGACTGGACCCCCATTTATGCAATTTGCCTCTAAGATAGTAGTTTTCAGCCTGTATGTCCTGCTCCCTTGGGGGGTGTCGAAGAACCCTTTCTTAGGGGTCACCTAAGACCATCTGCACATCAGATAGTTACATTATGATTCATAACAATAGGAAAATCAGTTATGAAGTAGCAACGGAAATAATTTTGTGGTTGGGGATCACCACAACATGAGGCACTGTATTAAAGGGCCACAGCATTAGGAAGGTTGAGAATCATGGCTCAAAAAGAAAAAAAGCAAAAGCACAAAAGGGGTTGGGGATTTAGCTCAGTGGTAGAGTGCTCACCCAGGAACAGACCTTGGCTTCTGTCCTCAGCTGGGATGTGGGTGGGAAGTGGGCGAGAAGGACCACAAGGCTCTAAGACATTCTATCTTGTAT